GATACCTTATTTAACAGTAAATTACATATTTTATTAACTTCACATACACCCTATTTTTTACCCTTCTAGGTCACATTCGGGACGCTTCAGGCGACAAATAGTCTACGACTTAGATCAAATTATTCTTATAAATCTGAAAAGCAGGACTCGTCAAGGTGCTGCTCCACGTTCATTCAAATTGATGATCGGTGATGAGACTCGTGTTTTTCAAGCACAGTCCTCCTCTGACAAGGTAGCGTGATATTATTATATTCTACATGTACCACGCAAACAGCACCTAATAATTAGATTTTATATAGAAGTAGAAATGGAGACCATATCCTATATCTTATATTTTGCATGATTTCAAAGTGTTAAATTTACAATTCTTGGGTTATTTGATTAAGCAATTCATAAAATAATGGAATTCATTTAATACCACAACTGTTTAGCACACGTTTGGTCAAAATATAGGCTCGTCTCTTTGACGAGTTGTTGTATGGTGCTAGGAATGGCGATACTTACTGACGATGCCGACTATGATGCCGGCGAAGCGTTTTGGGAATGTACCACGTCCATGGTCCGACTTTGGAAATGATTATGCATACAATGGACACCGAACTAGGTGCGTTCCTCTAAGTCTTCCTACCAATATGACTAAGTTGCGAAAACAAGGTCAAACAACTTCTATACAACGAGGGGAGACTGCGACCACACAAAAGGCCACACCATCTTGGTCTTCATGTCTTCATTTAATCGTGTTGCCAATATGATATTCCTCATCGCTTCACATTATCCTGCCTTCAATATTCATTTTTACACTTTTTTCTAAATTTTATTGTACTTTAGATTATAATTGATTCATTTGATATTTTTGCATCACCAATGCTTACATATATTTTTCTGAATTACTCTAAATCCTTCCTAGGAGGCCTGGATGGCACAGATAGAGAATAGTAGACAGCAGAATCGAAAGCGCCGTCTCCGCATTAGCCATCCATCCGCGCCAGGCGGGAAAGAGCGCAGGAAACTTCGCTCAGGTACCGGAGAAGCTGGCGATACGCTTATCCGCATAGCAAAGGGGGCTTTTGCTCTGCGCATGCCTGGAGCAAAGCGACTAATGGAAACCAGTGGTAACGCAGCGAAAGCAGATGAACTGTGCGATGGTGAAGAGGAAGAAGATGAGACCGATGCGACTGCCGGAGAGGACTTGGTAGACGATATAGACGTTAATATGCCTCAGGTAGGGTATGCCAATTATTACAAGAGTTTTACATGCTTTTATTTTTTAAAGTGGTCCGATCTCGTTTTCGCAACTTGTTGGTGTTGTCAGGGCGACCTAGTTGGATACACCTTGTCTGAAGTCCTCTGCTATATTATTTATCATAAGTCTCAGCGTTGGATCATGGGCTTGGTACATTTGCAGACATTTCGCAGGCATCGTCAGTGAATCTTGCCATTTTTCACATCAAGCTACAACTCGTCAAAGGTACAAATGATGTGAATCCCTTAACCTACTTTCTGTCAAATAGTTGTGCTATCACTCTTTATGTCCTGGCACATTACCTACTCTCTATCCTCTTATCTCACTCTCGGCCTAACCTTTCGTTTTTCATATGACGAACATTATCAGAGCAAGGTATCTTCATCACAATCAAATTCAAGCTAACAAGTCAAGATAACTCACCGGCAAATCCATAAAAAGTGTTATATGTACTCTACATCTGGCATCTTTGATCAGGTATAAAGTGATTTGGTTAGTTACGGACATATGTCAACCTCGAAACCTGTGAGTGTCTAGTTCTGTATGTGTATGTGCCTGTTTGTGTTGGTTTATGCACGAAATCAGCAGTGATAGCCCAAAGTTATAAGGACAGTAAAAGGAATGTATGTTTTTGCCTATCAAGGTTTGGTGACCAATATCTATCCCTTTCAAAATATATGTTATAACCATCACTCTGATTGCGCAAGGTCAGAATCACGTCGGGTTATGTTGATAAGCCTTTTTGTTGTTGGTCTTCATGCGAGAGAGAAAGAGTGAGCCAAAAGTACAGAGAAGTGACTATGATTAGAACTAGGACAAGAAAAGATTAGTTGAGTCGCCTCACTTTTGCAGGCTGCTTAACACTCTCTTTATCCTTGAGTCTATTAATTGAGAACAAGTAATTTTTATAATGAGATGTATTCACCCTATTTCGTCTAAGGTGATGAAGGACTGGTAGTAGAATTTTCCCA